TTCTTATTTGGAAATGCTTGATATTCTCATCAATTTTTATAATATTTTAACGCTCTGCAAATTATTCAATATGTTTTAAATCAATTATTATAAAATCTGACCTAGGCAATTTGTAGGTGGCTACATAGAGTCCTCTGCTCCAAAGGTTATTATTTATATACTAAGGATAGATATTCAATGGGATAATTCGAATAGATAGATATTAAAGTCCCATGCTCAAAAAGTAGTTATTTATATACTGAAATGCCTCCCTTACAAGTTTAATTTCATCTCCAACATCAAGTCCTCCAAACTCCAGGATCAATCCTTGCCCATCAATTGAGATTAGTTCTTTAGGCTTTTCATTATATATATATATATATATATATATATATATATATATATATATATATATATATATTGTGTGTGTGGGTTAATAGGATGTCAAGTCACTTGACATAATAATTTGTTCAGTTGGAGAATTATAATCATACAAAGGTAGATCAATTATGATAAAGTAGGAGAAAGAAATATAATATTCATTTTTGATTAATTAAATAAGAAAAATAAATATCCAAAACAACGTAATTTTGGATGACAAGATGGTCAAGTGACATGACAAATAATTAGTCATATATATATATATAGGGAATAACATCTGTTATTTTAAAGGATATAAGCTTATATCATTTTAGATCCTAATCGTTGATTTCCGTCCATCAACGGTTATAATCTATTGGGTCATACTTAATGGGCCAAATTTATTAATAATTAATTAATAATTTTGATCCAATAAATTATAACCGTTAATAGACGGAAATCAACGATTAGGATCTAAAATGATATAAGCTTATATCCTTTAAAATAACATATGTTATTCCCTATATATATATATATATATATATATATATATATATATATATATATAGTTTACATTTCTGCAGCTGCTGTACGTGAAGCAATCAAATACTTGCCATATATATACATGAAAGCATTAAATGCAAGGAATCATAATGATACATCTGTCGTTATTGTACGTAAAGTGACTGCAAAAATGATTTTACATATATATATATATATATATGGAAAAAAACATTCCTTAAGCAGCTTGGGATAAGTTTATCTCCGGCTACCCCAAAACTACGTCATTTTATTTATTTATTTCCTTATATTAATTGATTCACCTTTGAATTGTTATGATTTCTTTTTTCTCCCTCTTCCTTTATCACCATTGATTCATCTCTGTACGGTTATGATTTAGTAGCCGGAGATAAGATTATCCCAAGCAGCTTGAGAAACAATAAGCCCTATATATATGGGGAAGAATATTTTAACAACCAAATTGTGTTACTATCATGTTACTACCAATCAATCTCACCCTTAGATCGATTATGTTGATCCAACGGTTATATTTATTTTTAACTTTGTATGGTTATGATTCTCGATATTTAAAGTGAAAGCATTAAATATGGAAAATCATAACTATACAAAGGTGGAAATAAATATAAAATATTAAATTTGAAAAATCATGACCATACAAAGATGTAAATAGATATAACCGTTGAATCAATATAATCGATCTAACGGTGAGATTAATTGGTAGTAACGTGGTAGTAACACAACTTGGTTGTTACAATATCCTTCCCCTATATATATATATATATATATATATATATATATATATAAATATAAAGAGAGATATATATTGACGATTATAATATTTTAGTCATATTTAGTAATTCCCAAATAACATCAAAATAATCTTTCTTGTCCATTAAAATAATAAGTCACAATTATTTATTAATGTTGGAAAGTAAAAGTAAGAATTAAATAACATCATTCACATTCTCATATATATAAAAGGGTTTGATGTTTGTCATTTTAAATGACATAAGTTATGTTATTGTAAGAGAGAGATAGACACAAGAAATAAAAATCATGGGAGAGAAACTGGTGGTTTTTTTAATTCAAATTTTATATAAAAAATTATATTTTGTGTCTATCTCTCTCTTAAAATGACATAACTTTATGTCACTTAAAATGACAAACACTTTTTCTTATATAAAATATACCAAATGAGGCACAAGTAAATATTTTTTGGACAAATTTTTTGACCAACAGGGATTTGCCAATACATAGGTCTCAAAAAGCTACATAAAATTAAAAAAAATCAACTAATTCGAACATTCAAGTCAAAAATTATGAATTCTTTTATTTAACATAAAATTATTTAAAAATTTATGCCACATATCATTATCGAATGAATAGCACCCAAAATGAGACATGACCAACCTCGTGTCATACCCTCATTTAAATAGTAAATACCATTTTTAGTCCCTGACAATATCCACGAATCCATTTTCAGTCCCTAGCAATAAAAAAAAGGACAAATTGATCCCTGAAATAACAAAAAAGAGGTCATGTTCATCCTTGCGTTAACTCCCACCTAACAGCCCAACTAACGGTGCACAGTTGGCACGTTAGTTTGTTGATGCGGCTTGGATATGGGACACCGTGGAAGATGATACGACGATGTTTTGGTCCCTGTCAAAACCACGAGGGCCATTTTGGTCCCTGTCAAAATGCACGAGGACGTTTTTAGTCCCTGACAAAAAGCACGGGCCCCTTATTGGTCCCTAACCAGAGAAAAATAGGCACATGACTTCATTGCTTTTCTATGCAGTCCAATTTTGCAAAACAGAAATGCATTACATCAGAAACATGAGTGCAATCCATTTGTTCATCACAAAGTAATTAAACTAAATTTCATCACAAAGTAAAATACTCCTTCTTGGCATTTTATTTCAATGAAGTTTGTGTTTCTAACTGAAGTTTCAACCTTATTAACGATTATTCATTTCTTTTTCAATGCTAATTAAGCTTCCCACTTTGTTAAAAGGGATTTTTGGCTCTTGCAAACAGCTTTTACGATCCCTAAAATACTATGAACTGCTTTAATTCTTTTAGTCTGTATAAAACATAGCATTATGCGATTTACGAACAATATCTTCAGTAGTGTAGCATTACAATTATACTATTTATTTTTCTATAAAAGATAATTGCGTGATTGTTGATATTTAAATACAGAGAAAAATCAGAGAAGAAACAAGGTAAATGATTGCTTATAATTGCAATGCATGGCAGTTGACTGGACTGCAACAGTTGGTAGTTCTCAGCCTCATGAAGGCAACTTGAGAGGAAACAGCCCACCTCCATCAAATCCACAACAAGTAAATGAGTTGTTGAGTAATGAAACAATAAATGTAGCAACCAGTGGCACACGAAGCAGATTATTGACCTTCATGAGCACACCTGATTTTAGGCCACCAAGGTCTGCCTCAAGAAAATGACCTGCTGCTATATGCGACCTGGGAGTAGTGCATGAGCCAACTGAGAAGAGTTTATTATTATATGACTGGCCTTTTTTGAAAATTCTGACCATTATGTATTTGGAGGCCTTATTATGTCAATGTTTTCTTTTGTAAATTCTGGCTATACTGTATTAGAGGTCTTTCTTTTAATTCCTGACAGTTGGCTTTATTTTGTAATACATTACTGTACATTCATGTCTTCAAATATAATGATACTCAAATCATGTTCCAGCTATTATGGTTCACAAGGTTGATGAATGTTTAAGTTTACCATTTTTGATGTTTTTTAACTAATATACGTAGTTGTAGTTCTTGTAGATCCATGTCTTCTGGTTTAACAAATTGGACTGCATACAAATCCAATTTAATGTCATGTTTCTGTGTTGCAAAATTGGATTGCACTCCTGTTTCTGATGTAATGCACTTCTGTTTTGCAAAATTGGACTGCATAGAAAAGCAATGAAGTTATGTGCCTATTTTTTTCTGGTTAGGGACCAATAAGGGCCCCATACTTTTTGTCAGGGACTAAAATGTCCTCGTGCATTTTGACAGGGACCAAAATGGCCCTCGTGGTTTTGACAGGGACCAAAATGGCATCGTCTCGTCTTCCACGGTGTCCCACATCCAAACCGCGTCAACAAACTAACATGCCAACTGTGCACCGTTAGTTGGGCCGTTAGGTGGGAGTTAACAGAAGGATGAACGTAATCTCTTTTTTGTTATTTCAAGAACCAATTTATCCTTTTTTTATTGCTAGGGATTGAAAAAAGCTAATATTGTCATGACTAAAAAAGATATTTACTCTTCTTTTAAATATACATTTGGATATAGGTTTCAAAATATTACTTTTTCTTATATTCTTATTTAATTTGTAACATTTTTATAATTCTTAAGCTAATTTTATTTGTTGTATTAAATTTTGTATTATAATTTAGAGGAAGGATATTGTAACAATCAATTAGTGTTACTACCAATTAATCTTATCGTTAGATCGATTGTGTTGATGGTTATGCTTCCGCACCTTTGTATGGTTATTATTCCTCATATTTAATACTTTCACATTAAATATGATAAATTATAATCATAAAAACAAAGATAAAAATAATATAATCGTTGGATCAACATAATTTATCTAAGATGAAATTTATTAGTAGTAATACTAATTGATTGTTATATCATCCTACTCCCCCAACAAATCGAAATGGAGCTTTATAGGAAAAGAAAAAGAAAAAGCAGGAATATCCGAAACTAGATGAGAAAAGAACAAGAATTGAAAAATTTGTTCTTCTCCTTCAAAAAGATTCGGTGGGTTAAACCCTTCGACTTTTAGCCTCCGAGCGAACCGAAAGATCTGCGGTTTTAAGATCTTTCAGCTTTGTCATGGAGGCTTTCACAATTTAAATCCAAATTCAAAGGGTTAAACTAAAGTAAACAACCGTGAGATTAAAGTTCCAATGTCATAAAATCAGAAACATTAGATGTTAATAAAGCAGAAAAATAATAAACAACTTCGAATATCCCAAAACGGCCGTCGTATTACCTACACCGTTAGGTTTGTGTCTTTTTGAGAGGCTCAAACTCAACCTCCCAAAAACACGACACAAAAGGTAAAACAGAAAATCACAAAAAAAATTAGAAAAAAAAAAATGTGAATATCCGAATATATCCAGGTAAGGAACAGAAGAGAAAGCGTTTCCGTACCCTCATACCAATTCGAATGTTCAACCTTTGATATGCGCCTCTGTCTGAACCAAACGGTGTGTCGTTTTTTCACAGTGTGGTTATTCGGAGGCATAACAAGATAAACCAAACAAAACCAAATATTTAATTTAAAAATAAAATAAATAAATAAATAAAAGAAGTAAAGAGTTAGAATTGTGAAAGGCATGCTTGAGGGACAACTGATATATGAAAAATCAGAGAGTCCCTTCAAAAAACCTCTCTCTAAAAGAAACCAAAAGTTAATTTGGCTTCCGATTGATATTCGCCTCTTAACTAAGCCACATATGAAATTGGTTATTTTCATAGGACTACTCAAGGAGGCATAAAAATGCGAAACTAAAAATTGAAGCTATGGCGTTAGGAACTGAATTTGGAACCATCGAATTGAAACCATTCGATTTATAATTGAAGCAATGAAGAAAACGGAGACATCGAGAAGAAATACCTATGCGGCGCAGCAACGTTGGTGCTCTTATCGGCTTTGGGTTTTAGGGTTCCTCCGTCCCATTTTAATGATGTTTTTGTTATGCAATTGCGTTAATACCCTCTTCCAAGGTTATAAGCTGTTTGATTATAGAGAAATTCTTAGGGCAATTTTTTTTTTATAATTTTGTTATTTATGCTTAAATATGTTTGTTTTTTTTTTTTTGTACTAAAATGCATAATTCGTGTCAATAAAATAATATAAAATAGAAACTAATAGAATAGTAATATCTTGCATATAGTATTTAGTAATTATAGAAATAATTGTTCTGTTTTGCGTTCAGTACTTATTAAATAGAATAAAATACTGTCTTGTCTATCAAAAAAAAATACTGTCTTTAATATATATATATATATATATATATATATATAGAAGTTGTAAAAGAATTAAATTATACGAAAATAAAGAATGTAGTTGTAGAAAAATAAATTTGTCGTTATTATTATACAAATAAAAAGTTGTAAACGATAATTTAGTAAAATATTAGTATAAAGTACGACGTATATGATATATATTTATGTTGAATAAATATTGCGGTGTTGATTTTACACAATTATAAATTATTTATATTGCGATTGGCATCAATTATGATTATTAACATTTATTCTTTTTATCATTTTACATGGTTGTTATAAAAGGTTGTTTGATCAAACAAAATATATAATAATAATTAAATTACCAAAATCTTCAGTGTGTGTCTAATATTTTTGTATCTCTTCATCGATTTGTTCTCCGTCTTCTCTTTTCTCGTTAGAGATGTTTATCAACCGATTCAAACCGCAGTGACCGAATCGAAAAATTAATAATCCAAAAATCATAAACCAAAAAAAAATCCGCATATTTTAATTGAATTGGATGGTTTTCAGTTTGGTTGGTGAAAATTGATCCAATGCATTATGTATTTATTATTTTTTTAAAAATGGTGACTTAAAAAATCCGCATATTTTAATTGAATTGGATGGTTTTCAGTTTGGTTGGTGAAAATCGATCCAATGCATTATGTATTTATTATTTTTTTAAAATGGTGACTTGAAATCTTGAATGTTATTGACAACAAACTAACTTGTTTTACTTTTTTATTGTCTATCTTTACTTGCAAAAAATGAAGAAGAAAAGGAACGAAGAAAATGGAAAGAAAAAAGGGGGAAGGGAAGGGGGGAGATCCCCTCTTTTTTCTTTTTTTTATCCATATTCATAGACATAGAATTCATGTCATAATTAAAGATCTAATGTGTAATTCTTTTTCGTAATAAAAAACGATGAGAGGTTACTGATAATTCTAGAAGAGTTTTTTATTTAAAAATTCGGTTATTACTCAATAAATTCAAATTTTTATTTTTAAATTCCAATTCTTTGAGTTTTAAGGCTTGTTTTTGTTTGAAGACTTGAATTTTTCATTGGTTTGTAATTATGAATGACTTTATTTTGATATAGCTAGTGATTTGTATGATTGAAATTTTAGTCTTTTCAAAAAACCGAAAATCGATCGAATACAAACTGAATAAAATTGGATTGGATCGAATCGAATTTTAAACAAAAAATCCCAACTGAATGGATGATTTAATGATTAAACTGAAAGAATTGGATATGATGATTGATGCTTCAAAACTGATCCAATTCAGACGCGAACACCCCTTCTTCCCATTCCTCTCTAAATCATGTTGCAACAATTTTCTCCCTTCGACTACCAAACATGGGTTTCCCTTGTGAGTCTCTCTTCTTCTATTGCATTGTTTTTTATTTGGTGGTAATTGACCAAATTCCTAAAGCATGTTAAAGGATATTTCGGCAAGAATGAGGTAATCATAATCTCTAGTAGGGGTGTTAACGGTACGAGCCGAGCCGAACTTTGGTCTTAAGAGGCTAAGCCTATGTTTAAATGTGTTAGTTTGACCAAGCCTGCTACCAGTTATTAATATAATTATTGGAATGTGGCCTGTCTTATTTACAAAAAATAAAAACCTGATTTAGCCTGTTAGCCTGTTTAAAACAAATAAGACAATATAAATTTATCCAAACAGAATATACAATCAACAACACTGGTAATTCCGTAAATATCCATAAATTCAATGTATATCCAAAGAGTTTGGTGTTTATCATTTTAAATGACATAAGTTATGTTATTTTAAGAGAGAAATAGACACAAAAAATGAAAATCATGGGAGAGAAAGTGGGTGAGTTTTTTTAATTTAAATTTTAAATAAAAAAAATTTCTTGTGTCTATCTCTCTTATAAAATGACATAACTTTATGTCATTTAAAATGACAAACATTTTTCTTATATCCAAATAGCCTAATATAGAACAAAATCATTCAAAAAGCCTGTTTAACTAATAAAATGGAACGAAATGGATTGAGAAGAGAGAGAGGACTCTTACAAGCAGTATAAAAAATATAAGATAAAAATAAAAATTAATATACTAGTCCAGCCTAAGAGGCTCTAAGGCCGAGCTTTTCAATTGGAGTCTGAGTCCTTTTTATTAAATGGACTTTTATACAAGTTCAAGCCTGGTTCTAACAACTAATTTTAGACATGTAAGCTCAGGCTTTCACGCTGGTTCGCTTAGCACCCCTAATCTCTAGATAATATTAGGTTGTATGAAATTGTGATATGTTTCAACTTAATAAGGATATTATTCTAAATGTATTCTTGGCAAAAAAAAATTATCTGATAGAATAGAACGAGGTGTACATATTATAGAATACTAATTTTCTTGATCAGTTGTCCCACTACAGCCCCCTATTTATCTATTGCAAAGTACCTCGTGTTTATCAAATTAGAAATGCAATATTGAATATTTTCACATTTGTCTCTCTTCTCTTCTTCTTCTTGAGGAAGATCGTGTTGCATATCAAGTCAACCTAGCAAATACAAGTGGGAAACTCAGCACCAGACTCTCCTCTCATGGCTTATGACCACTCTATTAGAACCCATCACGAGTAAAGCGTTGGGTCTTGTTCATTCATGGTCAGTATGGGAGAAAATACACAAATACTTTCATGGGCTTATGAAATCCAAGGCTATCTTATTCAAGTGATTCCTCCTCATCCTCAGCTAATCTTACAACTAGTGTTCAAGATATAGATACATCTTATGCCCTTTGGCACTATAGAGTAGGTCATCCTTATCATAAGGCTGTAAAATTTGTATTGGAATCTTGTATCATTTACTTCAGTAATAAAAGTTCTTTTAATTTCTGTCAAGCTTGCTATATGGGTAAGTCCCATACCCTACCTTCTTCTCCCTCAACTATTGTATATGTTGAACCATTTGACTTGGTGTTTAGTGATCTTTGGGGTACTACTCCTATGCTATCCACCATGGGATATTACTATTATAGAACCTTTGTAGATGCTCACACACACTTTACATGGATTTTTCTTATTAAACAAAAATCTGAAGAAAAAAATGTGTTCAAACAATTTCATTCATTAATTACAATTTAAAGCTTCCATTAATGTTGTCCAGACAGATTATGGGGGTGGGGTGAATTTAGACCTTTCAGAAAATATCTTGACACTCTTGGTATTATTCACAGACTTATTTGTCCCCACACTCACCATCAAAATGATCTTGTTGAGCGAAAACATAGACAAATTGTTGATATGGGATTAACAATGTTATCTCATGCTTCTTTGCCTCTGAAGTTTTAGGATCATGCTTTTCTTTAAGTTGTTTATCTAATTAATAGACTACACTACAACCTTAAACTTTAGATTTCCTTTTATTAAGTTTTCCTGTTAAATCATAAATCAACTTCTTGAGAAGCATTGGAAGCTTTTCAAAAGGATTCTTAGTTATCTCAAAGGAACCATTTCTTTTTGTCTTCTCCTTCGTTCTGCTAATCCAACCACTACCATGCGTCTAACTGCATTCTGTGATGTTGATTGGGCAAACGATCTAGATGATTGCAGATCAACATTCGATGCTTATATTTTTCTAGGTCCTATTTTGATTTCTTGGTGGTCAAATAAACAAACTCCTGTAGCTCATTCAAGTACTAAAGCAGAATACATAAGAAGTCTTGCCTTAATAGACATTGAATTAATTTAGATTCAATCACTTTTGTGTGAACTACAAGCCCCTACTCAAGTGCCTCTTGTTTTCTATGATAATCTAAGTACAATTGCACTTTCTCATATCCCTGTTCTGCATGCTATATCTTAACATATGGAATCAGATATTTTCTTCATCCTTGAAAAAGTTCTTGCTAAACAGCTTCAAGTATCTTATGTTCCAGCTTATGACCAAATTGCTAACACCTACACCAAGCCTCTCTTTATTGCCCAATTTATTGATTTTAGAACCAAACTTATGGTTCTGGATTCCATACAACTCTTTCCATAACCATGAATTTGTGGGGGCATATTAGGGATATTTTTGTAATTGTATTCCTTGCAAAAGAAAAAATATATATCTGATATAATAGGATAAGGTGTACATATTCTAGAATGCCTCTTTTCTTACTGGGCTATCCCACTACAGCTTTATTTATGTATTGCACAATGCCTCACTTTTATCAAGTCAGAAATACAATACATAATATTTTCACTTTTCTCTCTCTTCTCTTCTCCTTCTTTTCTTCTTATCTTTGTTTCTCTTTGAAAACTTTTAATAAATGCAAATTATGAATTTTTTTTTAGAAATTTTCTAATATGTAATTTGTGACAAGATTAGATTCTCTAAATTTTGTAAGAGAAAAAATAATGAAACGATAGCTTTTCGGATGACACCTTCTAAAAGTGATGAATATAACCTTACGACTATTATGCATATATGATATGAAAATGATGTTTATCC